ACAACTTCTGTCTTTCATGAATCCATACTGTCTGTTGCTTAAAATATTTTTTTCCAGCAAGAACTCATCTATGTGGTCTTTTATTAAACTCTCCAGTACCTTCCCAACTATAGAAGTTAAACTAAAAGGTTTATAATTACTTGGTAAAGATTTTGAACCCTTTTTAAATATAGGCACCACATTAGCCTTACGCCAGTCCAGTGGTACTATGCCAGTCATTAAAGAATCCCTAAAAATGAGAAACAATGGCTTTGAAACGATAGAGCTCAATTCTTTAAGGACCTGTGGTTGTATGCCATCTGGTCCAGGTGCTTTATTCACCTTTATTCTGTCTAAATATTTCTGGATCATATCAATTGTGAGCCAATGTGAATCATCTGGAGCTGTGTCAATACCATGCCCAATATACACAAGAGCTCCCCCAGCTCCTCCCAGAGCTGAAGAAGGTATTTAATAGATTTGCCTTCTCTTTGTCCCCAGTCACCCACTCTAGATTATTTTGTAAAGGGCCTACATGCTCGGACCTGATCTTTTTACTATTAATATAGCTGAAGAATTATTGGGGGTTGGTCCTGCTATCTTTTGCTATCTGTCGTTCATTTTCAATTTTTGTGGCCTTTATTTTCCTTTTGCATATTCTCTTATATTCTTTTTAATGTTTAAAAATGTATAGCGTTCCTTCATTTTTTTGTTTAATAAAAGCTCTTTTCTTATCATCTATCGCTTTTTTAACTTTGGCAGTAAACCACATAGGTTTGATTTTTAGCGTTTTAAACTTGTTGGGAATATATTTTCAGTGGGTTCACATACAGTATTTGTGAAGAACTCCCATTTCTGTGTTGTGTGTATCGATGCCAATATTCCCTCCCAGTCTAAGTCTTGGAGAGCAGCTCTCAGCCTTGTAAAAATTAGCTCTCTTAAAACTGAGTGTTTTTATTTGTCCCGTATGTGCTTACTGTTTACAGCTAACAATAAATTAAATCATGTTATGGTCACTGCTACCCGGAGACTGAAGGGGTGAAGTGAGGGGTAGAGAGATAGATTTTCATGTCGTCGGCATGGAGATGGTAGTTGAAGCCGTGGGAGTGTATCAGTTGGCCAAGGGAGGAGGTGTAGATGGAGAAGGACAGAACCTTGAGGGACCCCAACAGAGAGGGGGAGTGAAGAGGAGGTGGCAGCGTTATAGGTAACACTGAAGGAGCGCTGTGATAGATAGGATGAGAGCCAGGAGAGAGCGGAGTCTCTAAGGCCAAGAGAGTTTTTTGAGGAGGATGGGGTGGTCAACCGTGTCAAAAGCCGCGGAGAGGTCGAGGAGTAGGAGCACTGAATAGTGGCCATTAGCTTTGGCAGTTAGCAGGTCATTGGTGAGTTTGAGTAGGGCAGTTTTAGTGGAGTGTAGGGGGCGGACGCCAGACTGTAGGGGATCAAGGAGGTTGTTGTCGGTGAGGTGGGAACTCAGGCGATTATAGACTAAACGCTCTAGGAGTTTGGATGTAAATGGAAGCAGGGACATGGGTCTAAGGTTGTTCAGGTCAGTGGGATCCAGGGAGGGTTTTTTAAGTATGGGAGTGATGTACACGTGCTTCAGAGGGGAGGGGATTGTGCCAGTAAAGAGGGAGAGATTAAAGATGTGAGTGAGGGAGCATAGGATGGAGGAGGAGGGTGATCGTAGGAGCTGTGAGGGGACAGGGTCAAGGGGGCAGGTGGTGAGGCAGGCTTCAGAGAAGACCTTAGTGACCTCTTCAGTGGTAGCAAGGTCGAAGGAGTGGAGTGTTGAGGGGGTTTTAGTGTGAGCAATGCAAGGTGGGGTGGAAGTCTGGGCAGTGGCGAGGTCGAAGGAGAGGAGCGTTGAGGGGGTTTTCGTGTGAGGGATGCTAGGTGGGGTAGAAATCTGAGCAGTGGCAATGTCCCTACGAATTGCGTCGATCTTGTTTTTGAAGTGGTTAGCAATCTCGTGGGCGGTGAGTGAGGTACTGGGTGGAGGTGTGCTGTATATACGTATATATTTTATATATACATATACAGTAGATATATGTGTGGCCTCTAGGATATGAATATTATCTTCTATTATCAATGACTACATAATTGCCATAAAGGAGGCTGGATGCTAGAAGAAATCAGTGGCTTCAATTAATTCTTGAAATTGCCAATCCAGAGCTCTGATTTACGCAATTTTACACTAGCAGTAGAGTTTATCACCCTTCTGAAAACTGATCTGTGGTGGACTGCTTTTCAGAGGATGGTTAACAGGCAATCAGGAGATTATACTGTCACCTTCTGATGCTTTTTTTTTTTTTTTTACTGAACAGACATTTAACATTGATGAGCGGTTGTGGCGTGCTCTATTTGCTTATATGGGGGATTTTGACAGGTGGATCCACCTATCAAACTCTGCATGCATCTTCAAAAGTGCAATATGTACTCCTCTGAGTAGCACCATGTGTGCTTATAGATGGGCAGTCAGGGGTGGTAAAAACATGGAGCAACCTCTTTGTTCTTAACACCCCCTGGCTACCCATGTGAATGGAACCCTATGATTGTATCCTGACAGGTTTCCTTTAAATACCTGTTTATCTGTTGTGTGTAGCTTGTGCATGGTTTATATAGCCAAAAATGTGTAGAAAAAAAATACTATAACTTCAGAGCAGAGGTTCCTGGGAATTCCTTAAAATGAGATAATACTATTTTTATTGAACAGGATGTTAGAGGTCCATGTTTTAGCTAAAGTTCATTGTATCTCAGAATCACACACTAAATACATAAAACATTTAAAATCCTTTTAAAACTAAAACAGATGCTTAAGTCATGAATCATACTTTAATGATACCCATTCAGGATCTGCGCCAGTCAGCTAGATACCAATTACTAAAAAATATGACATTATGCTTCCTCTCTCACCATATAAACCAGGAGTGTTATAGCCTGCACATCACCGTGGAATTAATGGTTTGTGATTTTTAGGACATACTATATATCAATGCATTTTTTAAAAATTGTTCAACTTTTTTAAACTTTACAAATTAGCATACATAATGTGTGTACGTTGGGATCAGATACATTTTGTCTTGGAAACTAGATAACTCAAAGTACAACTAAAGTAAAAACTTTTTTTTTAAAGTTTTGGATAGAGTGGAGAAGGGTAAGAACACCTGTCAGGTTTTGTCAAATGAAAAAAAAAGTTTTGCCTTTAGTTCTATTTTAAAATATAGTTTCGTTAAGTCTACCAATGACCACAGATATAAGCGGTGCTAAAAGTGGATCCTCACCCAACTCTGCACCACTCCCACCCCTATTTTTTTTTACCCCAGCTTACCAGGAGGTGAGTTCTGCTCATTTCAGATATTCAGCCACTCAGTAGATCCAGTGTTGTCCTGCTGAGATTCTCTCATCCCTTGCCACAGCTCAGTCCTGTGTCACCATGTTGTTTTTGACATGATTGGAAAGGCCTGCTGGCTGTTGCAGGTGCAGCATTCGGACATCCCAATGAAACGCCACTAGGCAATCCCATGCTTCCTCCTTTGTGAATTAAGCACTATGCCTCCTGGGATATGCGACGCATATATACCAGGAGGCACAGCGGGCACTGTGCACTTCAATTGCCTGGAGTGATGTGCATGGGGGGGGTGGGGCCATAAAAAAAAGTAAAGAAAAAAAAGAAAAACAAAGAGTGCTATTCATGTACAGGATGGGAGGAGGGGTGGAATGGAGGGAACTTCATTAAGAGGGTGAAGATGTGCTTTAAACTTGTGTTGTCTAAGTACTTGTTTATTGGCAGAAAGTGCATAGCCATCTTCAAATGTCAACTTATCTCTGGGAAACTGTGCATTTAGTACAGATGTCTTTTAACTGACCACCCTTCCCCAGAAATCCCACTCAAGTATACTTACCCGACTTGCCCTTACTCCTCTGAGATTATTGCTGTGCAACCCTCTGGATGCAGCATAGCCACAGTTGCAGACATTTCCCAGCGGGGCTCTTCTTAGCCACATATCACATACACTATATTGCCAAAAGTATTGGGACACCTGCCTTTACATGCACATGAACGTTAATGGCATCCCAGTCTTAGTCTGTAGGGTTCAATATTGAATTGGTCCACCCTTTGCAGCTATAACAGTTTCAACTCGCATTCTCCGCTCTAATTCATCCCAAAGGCATTCTATCGGGTTGAGGTCAGGACTCTCTGCATGCCAGTCAAGTTACTCCACCCCAAACTCGTTCATCCATGTCTTTATGAACCTTGCTTTGTGCACTGGTGTGCAGTCAGGTTGGAACAGGAAGGGGCTATCTCCAAACTCTTCCCACAAAGTTGGGAACATGAAATGGTCCAAAATGTCTTGTTATGCTGATTTCTTAAGAGTTTTCTTCACTGGAACTAAAGAGCCAAGCCCAAATCCTTCACCAAACTTTACACTTGGCACAATGCAGGCAAGTACTGTTCTCCTGGCAACTGCCAAACTCAGACACGTCCATCGGATTGCCAGACAGAGAAGCATGATTTGTCTTTCCAGAGAACACGTCTCCACTACTCTAGAGTCCAGTGGTGGCTTGCTTTACACCACTGCATCAGTTGCTTTGCATTGCACTTGGGGATGGAAGGCTTGGATGCAGCTGCTCGGCCATGGAAACCCATTCTATAAAGCTCTCTATGCACTGTGCTAATCTAAAGGCCACACAAAGTTTGGAGGTCTTTAGCTACTGACTCTGCAGACAGTTTGTGACTTCTGCGCACTGTGCTCTTCAGCATGTGCTGACTCCGCTCTGTCATTTTTCATGGCCTACCACTTTGTGGCTGAGTTGCTGTTTCCACTTTGTTCTAATACCACTAACAATTGACCATGCAATATTTAGTAGCAAGGAAATTTCATGGATGGACTTATTGCACTGGTGGCAACCTATCACGGTACCACGCTTGACTTCACTGAGCTCCTGAGAGCGACCCGTTCTTTCACAAATTTTGTAGAAGTAGTCTGCATGCCTAGGTGCTTGATTTAATATACCTGTGGCCATGGAGGTGATTGGAACACCTGAATCCAATGATTTGGAGGGGTGTCCCAATACTTTTGGCTATATAGTGTACATATGCATGGAAGAATATTGATTCATGGAGTTTGTCTGTTGCATGTCCTCTCTATAGTTATAAATGGTGATTTTTCCATTCGTGCGCAAAAGACGAAGAGCCCAACTTGAAGATTTCTGGAGCAGTGGCTATGTGGCTGTAAGTGGTCCACACATGGAAGATCTCAAAGGACCAGGAAGAGGTAAGTATAATATTTTTTTTGGGTGGAAAGTGTCGTTTAAAGGATAGCTGTACTTTAGGATAGCTAAAGTACAGTTATCCCTTAAGGACCTGTTCACGCAAGAGAACTATGGTAACATGTGTTTAAGGCATGGCATTCACAAGCCAACGTGTGTTGCATTAGACAACCCATATATACCAGACTTGTAGCATTTTTACAATGCAGTGCACCATGAAAGTGTGTTGGGGTGTGTTACCTGTTGCTGTGCCTTGCAGTAATAGCAGTGAAATGTGTGGTTCATCGGGTCCTCTTGTCTGTTTTTCAGGTGGACCCGATCAGACCATCAATTGCCCTCTATGGAGTGGCGGATGTAAATGAACATGTGTCCATTTACACCTGTCTGTATTCAATCCAATTCTCTCTGCTAAAAACATCTGTTCCCCATTGGCCTAGAGGATCAGATGACAGTCGGATTTAAATGGACAGGTGGTCCGTTTACATCCAACAATAGAGTCTGTGTTTGAGTCCGCTCTGCATAAGCGGAGAGGATATGGACCTGTCATCTGCCTGCTCAACAGGGATCAGCGGACAGATTCCCAGCTGAGCAAGCTGATGTGCTGCGGAGTCCGCAAGTGTGAAAGGGGTCTTAGTCTTAAAAAGTGGGTTCCTTCCTTATAATGAAAGAAAAACACTGTTTGCAAAACCTTATCTACACTTGTTTTCCTAAACATAGATTCCAAATATTTTACAACAAGCAACAGCAAAGTGGAAATTGTTGGATATTGGAATCAGCCCAGATCATCAAGCCTAGCTGAATAGTTAAAAGAAGTTAATATATAACTAAAGGCAAAAGAGTGGAGAGGGATTAGAACCCCTGTTACTTTGTTTTTGCGATCTGTGCTGATGTTAGGGAAATTAACCCTCTAAATCTGTTCTGTTAACCATTATCAAAGATATTGAAGATGAAAGAAAATCTCAAATGTCAGGTTGTCACCAGAACAGGAATTGAGGGAAATTTGTCTGTTGAGGACACTAGTGCTGATGACCCTGGTGACAACCAGGCCTTCCCTCACTTTCCTCTCACTTCCTGTTTAGCTAAGGGACAGGAAGGGACGGGAAATCTCCCAAACTGGACTTAGATGGCAAATAAACAAAATGGGTTATAACCCTCCCGTACACTAACCAAAGTGTGAAACCCTTCTCTTTAGAATAACTGTAAGGAAAAAAACACTATTCTTATACATACACTTTTATGCACTAACCGTTTGTGCATTGTATGTACATTGTTTGTCCTCATCTGTCCTGATTATTAGCAGACTCAAATACACTAAACAAATTATAGCCAAACTCCAGATCACACTTTTTAACCAGTTAAAGCAGTTGTTTTCCTTTTGGGATAAAGGTTTTGCATGAATAAGCAAAAGCTAATCATTTAAATAACCCCTGCCAGTGTTACGTGGTTTGTCCCATCCATGTAAACTGATACATTCTGCTTGAGAGCTTGAGCTTCTGAAAAACAACAGACTCGCTGGTTGCATCACCAGATGGAAATAGAAGAAAGAAATCCTGAAAAAAGGAAACTAATGCAGCTATCCCACCTAAGAATTGGTAAGCTGCAATATAATTAATGTTTTGCTTTTAGGTTTAATACCACTTGAAGTCATTGACCTGGAACAAGCATTCAGCTAGTGGAGTCTGAAAATCCTTAATTCTATATGGTTGTTCCAAGCCAGCGACTCAATGGTTAGAGAAGCCAGGATCAGGATGACAGCCCTGCAACCTGCACCTACAATACAAGTCTTCTAAGGCAGGTAAGGATGTTTCCATCCTTACAAGTTCCCTATAAACTCTGCCTTGTGCCCTAGTTTGCCTACAACTTGCCATGCATTCTAGAAGTAGATTTTATTTCACCTGCCTTGTCTCTATAATCTATATTCATTCTTGGTTTTCTTTTTATATAAGCGCTGAGGAAGAAACCGTGTTTATGGAGCATATAAATCTGGATTACTTTCTCATTAAATAAGAAATACTGCACTTTATTCTGGAAGTACATAAGGCATATCTGCATACACTGCCCAAGGATTTCTTAGTCAAGTTTGAACTTCATTATTCAGTAAATATCTTTGTAATTAATTTGTGCTCTGGGCCACAGAGGCTAAAAATATTACTGAACCATTAATGCATTACAGTTTTGTTTTTAATGAATGCTTCTGTTCATAATTATTGTCAACGTCTATGATCTTTTACAGGAGATATGTTCTATTATGAGCATTTCTGGAAACTTTTCAACGTAGGCTTCCTCTTAATTACCTTCTCATGCCTGCCTTTGGTTGCCTAGGGCTCTTCAAGGTGCTATGTATATGTGAAAGGCCTACAGCTGATGCTTATCAGATGACCTGTTAAAGGGTAATGTGAAGGTTACCTATTGGAATGATTGAGACCACATGTAAATGTCTTTTCCCATGAACCTCTACCAAGCCTTAACACGGACTCTGCCTCTATAGTTATTCAGCAAGTCGGAACAGAGCTGTACTATTGTTAAAAGGTGTCTGACTATACTAGTGATGAGAAGATAATGGTGGAAGTGTTTTATTAGACTTGTCAATCAGCTGAGCATTGTTGTTGTTTTTTTTTTTTTTGGGTGGGGCTAGTTTGTAATTGTAACTTTTTTATTTATTATATTTATTATTATTGTTATTATTAATAATAATAATAATAAGAAGAAGAATAAATAGGTTTTATTTTTGAGGAATGGAGAAACATTGCAGCTTTTGGATAAGTAGAAAATTGCTGGAAATAAGAATAATGATAGAAATTCAACAAATCAGTTTACTGCCATGTTTAGTCATTATAATAAAAATGACTATTAGCATATAGCAGACTCACCTAAATGACCCATTCTAGTAGGTATAAAACACTGATGAACATCAACTAATTTATAACGATGGGGCCATATCGTCATCCACTCTCCGTTACATTCCCCTAGGGTTATGCACACCAAGGCCCATATTTTACTGCCCATTCATAAAATGATCAAACTACAGTGTCTTGTTCATGCCGTAACTTCATAAAAATGGTATGAGATTTGATCTGGTCTGGTGTTATTAACCATTTGGATGTAAGGTAAATAACTGTAATGGTATCCAGTCATACTGTTGTGAGCAGTACATTCCACTACAATGGGCATTAATTACAGCTTAGCATAAATGTTATATATATCTGAATAAAGGTTATATTTTAGATTCATCAATTGGCCACATAGTGCATAGAGACACGCACCCTTGTCCACCATAGATTCATTCTGGGGTATTGGCAGCCTACTCAAAATTAATGAGCTGCCTTTTACACAACACACATTATGCAATAGAATTGGATAATTACTTGTGAGCCACTAGAAGTTTTCTTTATCTGTGATCAATTAATTTTGTGCATGAAAAATATATATGTGAACTACCAAAATATTACTAATTAGTTCATTACGTGCTTAAATAAATTTCATAAAATATTAGATCGCTAGGTACTTATTACACCCTCTCCAGGTGTATGAATGTGATCTTTAAATACCAATGATGTACCGCGCTCCAATATATTCAACCTTATGTGATATTATAAATTAATAAATTAAATAAGTGTACCACCAATAATCCAGTAATTTTATAAATCAGTTATACCTAAATATATAATTTATGTAAATATATAAATTAATTAATTAATAAATGTGAAAGAATAAATAAATAAAACATATATGAGAAAAAGATTTAAATGAGAAAGAAATTAATTAATTTAACTTATAGCATACCATAGATAGATATATAGATGACATCATTCTAGTATGGAAAGGAAATGAAATGTCACTAGTGCAATTCTATACAGAATTAAATAAGAACTATAATAATATAACACTTAGCTGGAATAGCAGCGTTACAACAATCAATTTTTTGGATATATGGCTAGTGAAAGAGGGATCTTCTATTTCTACAAAAAATTACTTCAAGAATACAGATAGAAATTCATATATACCCACCCATAGTTGCCACCATAAAGCATGGATAAAGAACATACCCAGAGGGCAGTTTATGAGACTGAGACGCAACTGTACACATGATATAGATTATCAGGAACAGAGTGACATCCTTCTAGAGAGATTCATCAATAAAGGGTACAAAAAAAGGGTATATAGTTGAAGAAAGGGACAGGGTAGGAACATTAGATAGAAAGTAAATTATTAACAGTCAGAACAATAACAGTATAGACAATGCCATGACTGTCATAATGCCATACAATAAGCAATATAAAGATGTGCAAAAAAATAATTAAAAAACATTGGGATATATTAAAGCTGGATAAAGATTTAAAAGACAGCATCCCTGATAATCCAAGATTTACTTACAAAAAAAGCTCCAAGTATTAGAGACAAGGTAGTAAAGAATATATTAGATCCCCCTAAAGAAAACTCACTTTCGTTTTTTCAGGGAATTGGATTTTACAAGTGTGGAAGATGCTATAGTTGTACTAGAACAAAAAATAACCCCAGAAATAGAACGCAATTTACTAATTTAAGAAGTGGTAAAACATTTAAGATAAAACAATTCATATCATGTGACACCAAGGGGGTAATATATGCATTGAAATGTCCGTGCAACAAAATTTATATAGGAAGAACAAAACGCATGCTAAAAGAGAGAATAAAGGAGCACGTTCGAAATATTTCAAAAGGATACAAGTATCATAATGTATCATTACACTTCAAACTATATCATGAACAGAAAACAGAAGGACTAGAATTTTGGGGAATAGAAAAGCATAAGGCACACTGG